CATAGACTGTATATAAATGATGGAAGCATTTTGTAAAGCCTCAAACTGAACATTTTTAGCACCTTTTTAAAACCAGAGTTCACAAGCAGAGGGTGGCACTGCACAGCCTGCTAGTTCTGGACACTAAAATATGCAAAATGATCAAACGTCTTTAGTGAGACTTGAAACTGGTGACAATGACCAAAAAAAGAAATCTATCAGGAAAGTATTTACGAAGGCATCGATCAACGGAGGACCATTTTCCATATTTCTATACAGCTGGACATGTTTTTGCAACTAGAAGATTGACCCCCTGCTGGTCATTCGAATTAATACTGGTTTATTACCATTTCACATTTGTTTAACTTTGCAAGCTCCATCTTTTATATACAGTCTATGCACGGGCCAAACCGCTAGCATGGCTAAAAAGAAAAGCTAATTTCAGTTTGATGCACAGTTTAGATACCAAAGAACTGAAGATAATGGCAGCTGCATCCTTTCATGTAAGTATTCTTGGCGAGTTGTTTGCATAATACTATTCATTGCATAATATTTAATATAGTATTTAACATACCACAAAGCTGCACGTAACACCTTTATCAACTATAGCATGCGATACGTGTGGTTCATGCTGGTTACTCTAGGTTACGCAGAGACAGTACAGAGCTACGAAAGCCGACAAGCTCTTATGGCCAAAGCCAGCCAATCAGAGGGTGCAGCATTGGAAACTTGAACGGACTGAACAAAATGAAGTGAATGAGACAGAGGAAATGAATTTGGGAGAGGGAGAAAAAAGGAGACAGATAAGATAAAGGAGATTGAATGGAAAGATGGAAAAATGCACAATATAGTGAGAATTACAGGAAATGGTACAATCAGCACTGAAACTCTCACGTTAAGATATTAAGAAGTGAATACACCTTAGGTATCATTAACAAAACAGAATATGCCAAATAAGGCTCACATTTCACAAAATAAAAGCGCTACATTGTTGCAAAGCTAAAAACAAAGTGAACATTTTCACTGAGTCAAGAACTTCAGCAGGTTTGGATTCAATGACTTTGGCCAACAGCGAGGCCCAAAGAAAAAAAAAACAAAAAAAACCCCAACCCAACAGTCTGAAATGATCCTTATATAAAGATAAAGTCTTTTTTTTGTTCTCGTTTTATTTTTTAAGAAAAAGCAATAATGTACTTTTGAGTTAATTTTATAACCCAATGCAAGAAAATACTGCAAAAAACCCCCAACACAGAGTGGTGCTCTCGTGACAATTAGAAAACAGAAGTAAAAAATTAGATGAATCGTCACCCAAAGAGAGAAAAATGTAAATGATGAAATTTTTTATTTTTAATAATTTGAATTCCATCCATATTTGATGATTTTTAAATGATTTTTAACAGAAAACAATACAATAGATAATGAATCCTGAATAAATAAAGGGACATCAGTGAATTACCTTTAAGAAAATACACAAAGTGAAATACTTTGAGATACTAAAAAGAAAAAAAAAAAGAAAGATATACAAAAATGAAAAGCACTTCCTGAAAAATGTATTTATTAAAAAAAAAAAAAAGGAAAAGTTTGGTATTACTATTGCACACTTTGGTGTTGCAGAGTTACGGGGCAGCAGGCAGAGTGCAGACACCACGATTACTGGTTTAGTCCACTGAGAAAAACCAACACTCAGTCCCGATGGCTTAAAAAGATTGAAGCAGAGAGCGTGTTCCAGGTCACTCTAGTGCAATTACTATAACACTGACGATATATTAACTAATCAGATTCTTGTATAGAGTGTCTCATGGTCTGGGTTGGACATTTCTGTGACAGCCCAGTGGGTAAAAATCTGCCTGGAACAAACCCACGTGAGTCAGAGAAGGCTACAACACCAGGAGAGCCTGATGGTCAACAAGCATGTACCCGGGTAGAGCGCTCAACATCGTCCTGCTTCATAAATTACTGATGGCTTCAAAAACATAACACTAAAATGAAATGAAATGATGGAAAGCATTGCACATTTGACGCTTTTTTTTGGAAATGCAAAAGAAAAAAAATCCATCTGGGCTCCTATCTGGCCACCTGGCTCCCTGACCCCCCATGTCTCCCTCCTAAGTGAGCTGGTGGCCGACGAGATGCTGCTGGGCCATCTCGGGCTCCTGGTAGATCTGTCCCAACACCTCATGCATCATGTAGAGCAGAGGACAGCCCAGGCTCAGCAGCTCAAACAGCAACACATAGTCATGCGAGTAGCTCCTTACGTGCGACCCCACAGCTGAGAAAGACTCACACACACTTCCCAACAGCTGTTGAGGCAACACACACACAGCCCGGCTAGCGCGCCTCGGCAGGCTCAAGCCTCGCCTAAGCAAGGAAACCAGGGTACCTGGGGGTTGCAGCTGGGTGCTGCCCGTGGTGGCGGTGGTGTAGCTCCCGCCGTCCATGGACGAGGGTGCGACACGACGTTGGGGTTCCTGTATAAAAACAACACACAGAGAAAGAACTCAGAAACACAACAACAGGGATTTTTTCCAACAAGAAGATTTAGACAACCACACAAGTTTACTCCACTAAAACTACTGTTTCATACCGATGCTCTAACACTGCTATTCTTTTCATGCTGAATATAGGGTAATCCAGAATTAGAGGCATACAGTATGGAGGACAGATACCCACACTGAAGGTTTGTTTGTATCCTTTAAGCAGGGTGGAATGCTAACCCATAATAATAGGTACTCGTTCATATGAATATCAGTGAAGAAAACAGTCTGAAGGTTCTCAGTCATCCAGGTCATCGTACTCTAAAAAGCATCTGGACTTTCTCCTTGTTTCCTTGAAGAAGCTTCTTCAGTTCTAAGAGTAATTGGTGGAGAGTCCCAGATTTTAAGCCCTATGGGAGTGTCCCCAAGAGGGTCATGAACCCCCTATTGATCCTCTACCTAAAATATCCAAAAGTCCCAAATGTGAACATTAGCATCCTCTTTAGAGGAAAGTGTGAAAGAAGCCATCTATGTCCACTGCGAACGGCCATCTTTGAACAGAGGCGGTGGCTTACGACACCAAGTGTCTGTCATCTATAATCCAGGTTTGAGATCCCTTCCCAGACGCCTTAACGCCAACTCACATCCTGGGCCATTTGACCACAGGAAATCACATCATAGGGTGGCCGATTGTGACCCACACATTTTCACACCTTGGCTCGTGTGATTAGGTAGAAGATCAATAGGGGGTCCATGTCCCTCTTGGGGACACTCCCATAGAGTTTAAAATGTGGGACTCTCCATTGCTCTTAGAACTTCTCGGATGAGAGGTGAAACTTCTTCAAGGAAACTTGAAGTCCAGACGCTTTTCTTTCCAAGCTCCTTATAAAACAGGTTAACATGAAACATTTCCTTTGTGCCATAAAACAAGATATTTTCTAAAAGTTGGCTAATAGAACCGAACAGTGATATTACATATGGACAGTGT